GGGCAGTTTTCAGGTTTCTGATGGTCTGCACAATCTCAGCTACACACAGAAAAAGATATCATCTCAGTCAAGCTGACACCGAAGTATGCACAACAACGCAATCTCACCAGCCATTTTTGGACTCTCAGCTTCGAAATCGTATCGCTTGCTCCCAGCACCACGATTCAGAATGATCTTGAAGGTCGACGACGTCTTTGCCGACTGCTGACAGTCCGCTATACTCTTGATGTGATACGACGACGTCTTACCGCTATCAAACACGGCTCGAGCTTTATTTGTCGACGGCATAATCTATGTGAGCGAATCAGATGACGTGAGCTCTAAAAGAGGGGACAACACGAACATGAATATAAACGCCGTCGATTGCAAGCGTTCGTTCCTGCCTGGTAACAAGCATAGGCATCTTTCGGTATATGGTATATTTCTAGCAGAAAGCCCCGTGGTTAGTAACCAACAGCAATCACTCAATATTTGCGCCCTATGTACCTTGTAAGCCGCCGTGTAGTCCAATGCAGAGGAGTATTGTTGTTCAGGAGTCTCCGCATTAGGTTTGAATATAGAAGCTATAGGAATTCAACGAATCAGACTTCCGATCGCATGATATCAAATCAAATCACGTACCATTTGGATCTGTAGTCCTTCCAATGCCCTTGAGAATCGTATGGTCCATCTGCGGCAACATGCTTCGTTTCACAAGAAGCAACTCCGTTTTCCCTTGCAGACTAGCAACTGTCCTATCTAAAGGAATAAGAATGCTCTTGTCGGCGAGCAAGAGCGCATAATCATTAGGATTTTGCAGCTTTCGCTTTCTACAGACTAGCTCCAGAGCTTCCTGCATGTACATGCCAGCAGTCCTAGACAGAATTAGCTAATGTCGAACTAGAGGCATACGAAAAGATTGATCAAGAAAACATACACTTCAATCGTCGTCGAGATGTGCACAGCATCCGCCGTGTCTGCCACACGAATCCGCAAAAATATCTGTGGGCCATGGCTCGATGAGGGACCCAAAGACGTTGAAAGCATAGATCCCAGCTGAGATCCAGCATAAGCCGCGCTGGCTGGAGCGACTGAAGGTGCAGCATTTGGCTGATTGGGCTTCTCAGGCTTCTTTGCAGCAGATGTCCTTGAAGGCCGACGCTGGATTTTGCTCTCCAATATTTTGTTTTGTTGGACTACCATCATTAGATTTGGTCAGTTTCACATCAAATCAGAATATCAGAATCATTAGAAATAGACATACTCTGATTTGGTGTGGCTTCTAGGATAGCATATGCGTCTGCATTGAACTTGACAACCTTGGCCATTCTATCAGGAGCTGCATACCTGTCAGCAGGTATCTGGAGCAATAAGGCAGAAGAAAACCAACGCGGGAAATCGTCATCCACTTCTCCATCTTCTTCTGCTATTCTCAGAATCCATCCCACGGCAGAGAGCCTCGTCGCCCACTTGGATCATCTTCCCCACTTAGACCTTCGTCTAATTTCGGTAGCCAGCCTTCCTCCCAATAGCTCCATAACGCAAAGCCGATCACTTCCTCGACTGTTGCGTCTTTTCTTACGTTGAGATCCATGGTCTTTGCATGTGGCTGCTTAGCATGAGGGAAGTACACCTGGACATTCGTCGACGCCAATTCTCCTCGCCCAGAGATGGCAGCGTACATTTCAGCGAAGGGGTTAGAAGAGCTGCTTGATGAAGCGAGCATAGACGATAGACTCGATTTAAGAGGCTTAAAGGATGGAACTTTCTTCCTAACAAATATATTATCCGCGGCAGGAGGCTGTGCCGAGGGAGAGGGAGAAGGAGCATGACTGGCCGAGGTTGATGTACTATCCCCTCTAGTTCTGGAGGTACCGCCAATAGCTTCTGGTCGTTTCTGCCTTGAAGTACGACCAGGCCGTTCAGAGACGGGGCTTAATCGAGTCCGGGAACGAGTATTTGTTTGAGATGAAGGCGCTATGATAGATGAGTTGACCACAGAAAATGAACTAGGGGAAAACATAGAAGTTGCGTCAGAAGCACTGTCGGATGTAGTGCGAGTAGCAGCAAAGACTCTGATGGTGATTTTTATGAATAAGAGCGATCACTCAAAATACTGAGAGACTTACGGGTCGAATTCGTCTCCTTCATCCATTTCATCTGTAGTTTTCTGCCCAACGACTTCAAACTCGTCAGACGAGTCGTCGCTGATCGCGGGAGCTTCAGCTTCATCTTCGGAAGAAGAAGAAAAGCTGAGGTTGGGAGGGGGTGCAGCACGTGCCAAAGCAGCGCCAGGACCCCGTCGTGCAGCCATTCGAATACGTCGCCTCGCTTCCATTTCTTCGGCTCCCTTGAACTTTGGAATGAATTGGACGGCTTTAGTCACTGGAGCCTCTTCTGGAGCGGTGGCTTGGTGGACTTGAACACTAGGTTCTGGGGAGCCTTCACTATCAGAATCCTCGATTTTTATCCAACTCTCTCCTCCCGGCGCGGACTGCGCAAGCATTTTCGCTGACGGTGCTGCACCGGGCAGAGCTTGCTCAACTGCAGGGGCATCCTCCAATGCGACTTTCTTCGGATCAGCCTGACGTGGTGTAGCAGACATACGCTTCGACGTGGAGAGTCTTTTGGCGTTGACGCGGAGACCAAGTCCACCTGAACGGCCTCCCATAATGGTTTGGGTGTGCTTTAACCGAGCACCAGGCAGTCCGAGAGGCCGTTCTTGCTCATCTTCGCTCAAGTTGGGACTTGAGGGCAGAACCAATTGGGGACAACGATCAACGTCAGCCAATGAAGCGGCAAGTATATAGGGATTTGATTGGTAAGACGGGTCCAAAGAAATAATGCGGGGACCATAGGGATCCTCGACGTCGCGCAGATAGGCCAGACGGAGGCTGTGGATGAGATAACTAGAATAGGAAGTCATTAGCAAAAGGCAATGGTTGGATGAAGAGAAGAACCTGTACTCTGTGTCACTTATCAACGACATGATGCATATCGACCGCAGAGCAGCTGGCAGACTGATCGTCGAGGTCAATTTCAGAGAAACAGAGCTGTCATGTTACCGACATAATTACACCGTGGAAACAACCTGCCTACTTCGGACCAACTCCCCTATTCAAATCCCTTCAGCATCGCTACGACTGTGGCATTGACATGCCTTCGATCCACAGCCCAGCCAGCAACGCCATCGCGGTTTTACTCACGCAGCATGCCTTTATATACCCTAGCTTCCTCCCTCTTCTTGCCTCGATAGCATCAGCATGTTGACATCTGGTATGATCACTGTTGTGGTTGTCGGTGGAGGCGTTGCAGGTGCAGAAGGTCAGCCCTACCTTGATATCTTCATGTAACCTATCACTGAAGCTGCCTACAGTCGTCCGAGGCCTTTCCTCCAGGCTCGACAAGAACAAACACAGACTGGTTCTCGTTACGTCGCGACCTCGCTATACCTATCTGCCCGGCGCCCTCAGGCTTCTGGCAAGCAAAGATGCTCCTTTGAGCTCGGTCTTCATGTCTTACGACCATATATTTGGAAAGTTCCCTGGAGAACTCAAGATCGGCACTGTAACGTCAATCGAAGAAAACAAGGACCCCGCCTACACAAGAGGAGGGTTCGTTGTCCTCGAAGGTGGTGAAACGATAGGCTACGATGTCGTTATTATTGCTACTGGCTCTACTTGGGTAGGACATCTGGCCTTCCCGAATGACGAAATTGGTTTTAAGCAGCACGTACATGACTGGCGAACGAAAATTAACGACGCTCAAAACATCGTTATTGCGGGTGGTGGTGCTGTCGGGATAGGTAGGTCACTCCTCTTCACACCCTCGACCTCTAAAACTCAACGGTTTTACTTGCAGAAATGTCCGGTGAAATTAAAGATGCTTACCCTGTGTGTATTATTCGCTGTGCATACCTGCTTCTGAAATCTGACTGTTCCATTCCCTAGACTAAAAATATCACCATAGTTCATGCCAACCCTCTCCTCCTTGGAGACATATATCCAGACAAGTTTCGAATGGACATTGAAAACCGGCTACGGCGCCGAGATGTCAATATTATCTTTAACGACACTATTGAAGGCACACCAGACTCCAGTGCTCCTTGGAAGACAGCCAAAGGAGTTCCACTCAACTCTGATCTAGTGGTCAGTTACACTTGCATGAAGCTCCTTTCATCGTTTAATCTATTCATCGCTGTAGATCCTGGCTCGCGGCGGTCGACCCAACACGTCTCTACTAAAATACCTCCGAGGGAACGTCTTGACAGACCGAGGCTATATAAAAGTCACCCCCACTCTCCAAGTGGAAGGCCACCCGAATATGTTCGCACTCGGCGACATCATTGACTGGGCAGAAGCCAAACAGCTTACGAAAATATTACTCGGCCACGGCTCCGTCGTCGTCTCGAACGCACTGAGCTATCTCTCCAAAAAACAACCTAAGAAGGTTTATATCAAAAGCGCGGAAATTTTGACGATTAGTAATGGAAAGGTGAGTTCAATTCTTCACATGCCAGAGTTTCTAAACATTATGGCAATAATGCAGAATGGAGGAGCGACCTACTTGGGCCTACTATGGGGCCTTAGGTTTGGCAACTACTTCACGCGAATGATAAAATCGAAAGACCTGATGGTTGGCTTTGTGCGCAAAAGCATCGGCCTGGACGCGGAGTGTGAGACGGACTAAGTATTGAAACTGATTCAAGGACTTCGATTTTGACGACGCTCGTTTGAATTTTAAAATTTCACTCTTTTTGGAACTTGGACTTTTTTCTGATATTGGACAGTTTATCTAGCTATGGCGGGTATTTGTACGATGATGTCCTCTTATTTTACAGTATATTACATCATATATCGCCGTTTTACACATAGCTCTGCCACTGTATGTAGGTGGACCCCAGCCTGTTCCTCAATGGGACTACCTGCTGGTAATCATCATCATCATCCTGGACGGAAACCATTATTGCGACAAATATTACGTGTATGATTTCTTACATTATCATTGGACGACCTCTGCGAGGGCACATGGTGTAGTTGGTTATCACGCTCGCTTAGCATGGAGCCTCACAGCTGTACAGATTTGCGAGAGGTGTTGGGTTCAATTCCCAATGTGTCCATTTTTATTCTTTTCTCCTTTCTCTACATATTTCAATGTCTCACTCTCCTCTTGTCTAGTTCTTTCACGTCCGGGAATTCAGCTTGACTCTTGTTAAAGATCTACATAAAGATAGCATAAATCAGGCTCTGAATTATTTTGCCAAGCGCCCAATCTATGACTCCCTCTCCCATCTACTAGCGGATGCAATCTCGTGCATCCGAAATCTCCTCTGCATGTAGCAAGCCGAAGACGGTGTGGGCGAAGAATCGAGTCATTGTGAATTCTTGAGAGCCTCTTGGAGCAGCGTCGGCAATTGAGAGCGGAGTCAAACCAAGCCCATGATCCTATCCAAAGCCTTCCCTCTGAAATCATCTCCACTATATTTCAGCACCGTTTTCCTGCTTGCCTCCCTCCCTTCTCTGCTTCCTTCCGTGAAACTCCATTGCTATTGGGTAGGATCTGTTGATATTGGAGGAAATTGCCTGGCCTTCACCGCGCCTTTGGACTGCCATCCAGTGCTTAGTGAACCTGAATCGTCAGCCTTCACAGGGGTACCTTGATATCGTGCAGGACTGGCTCGATCGATCTGGCCAGCTTCCTTTATCCATTCGTGTCCGTTGGATGAAGCGTTACCCTTTGCCACGCTATGTCGACACATGCTATGATAGCTTGGTCAAGATATTCGACAAGTATTCAGCTCGTTGGTACGCTTTGGAAGTTATCCTGGGGGCATCCTCCTTCCTACAGAAACTCCAACTCGACCAGTCCCAACCTTCGATTCTGCCCAAAATACGTCTGGAAGGCGGCTCTAATGACGCACCGCTTCGTGAGCAAGTCGAAATTTTGCAGACCGCATGCCCGGATGATGTGTACCTCAAAGATGTTCGCCTTAAACCGCTCAGAATTGGATGGAAGCATGTCACCCAAGCAGTTATATACGGATTCCAGGTCGATGAATTCTTGGAGCTCCTCAGACTTGCTACGCGACTACAATTCCTTGACATTCGACGAACTTCAGTTTCAGAGAGACATCGTCAAAAACTCAACATACCCGTGGATTTTGTCAAGCATGAGCAACTGCGGATACTCAATATTCATTTTGTAGACAACGGGGCGCGGGACGCTCTTTTCCTCAGCAAAATTAACCTACCATCTCTAAAATATTTGTGCTATAACTCCGACAAGTTTGTGGTGCCTACTGAACTCAAAAACCTACTCATACGATGTGCTTGTCCTTTGCAAACACTCGCCTTAGCGTGCCATTTCAACGGCGAAGATGAAATTACACCCGTCCTAGAGGTCATCCCGACCCTTCGACATCTCGAACTCAAACCATATCATGGATCTGACTATCTATCGAATAATATTTTTCCGCTCCTCTTTCGAACCTGCCTCCAGAGTCCAAACAATCCTGAACAGGTGGCTTTCCTCCCTAATCCCGAATTTTTAAATTGTTACTCTGGGTCGCCAATTTCGTGGAGGGCGACTAGCAAAATTTTTGGTCGCATTTCCGAGCTCGGAGTTCCATATCGTAGACCCCTTCGCACCGTTCAAATAGGCTTCCAATGTGAAGCCTCTGGTTTCTGCCACGCAACTCTGGACCTGTCTCAGAAGTCTCAGAATTACCTGGTTGATAAAGAGATAATCCCTCAAATATTATCCTTGAAGAAAGCGGGGTTGAATATACAATTCTATAGTCTGGACCCGGAAATTCGGTGTTTGTATAAGCTATTCGACTTGCTAGATAGGTCCATGCGCTATCATGACATACCAGTTCAGGAGAAAGAGGACTTGAATTGTCATTTTGAGAGTAGTACGTACACATTTTTTGCGTTCCTCGTCATGAATCTCAGAAATTTTCGGATACGGCATTTCACAGATTTGCCAGGGTGTTTGCCGACTGTCGGCAGGCCATTTCTCAAGTTTTGGGAGGAACTTGGACGATTTGCGCTCTGACCTAAGTATCCCAAACATCAAGTTTCGATAGTACTTGGTCTTAATAATGTGGAGATACTTCAGGTTGATCATAGGATTCCACCAGTCCGACTGTACTATGCAGCGCGGAAAAGAGCTGCTAAGATTCGCTGGGCGCTTAATGTACTATCGCATGCTAAATATATCTCATGAGCAGCTATAGGAGCATCTGAATGCAGTCCTTGTCCCTCGTGGATTTTTGGAAGGCATCATTTAAAAATCGCGTACCATGTTCAGATTTCCAAAAAGGACGGCTGAACGTTTGATGATGCATGGAAGACTACTGCAATACTTTTCACCGTAAGGTTAACTTTGACAGCTAAACTTATATTGATCAACCCACTTTAGTTTCAACGTTTGACAGGAAGTATTCGATCTAAAAACCTACCCAAACTCTGCTAGTAAGTTCAACCTGGCACAAACCGAACAGTGACCCGAACCATCCA